GTGACACACGCCAGATGCTGCGCCCCGAGCCGGGCTGCAGCTCCCCTGGAAATACATCACGGAGCAAAAATCACCACGTACGTTCCAGCTGCTGCAGAGCCTGTCACTGGAGCAGACGTGGTGTCACATACACAAACGCGCACCGAATAGTAGCTGTACGCGTGATTAATTAGCAGCTAACAGTTAATGCTTCGAGCCACAGGGGAAAAAAGGAAAAGGGGGGGAAAAAAAAAAAAAGCACACCCTCAAAGGAAGATTAAAATTAACTATACAAGGTCTCCAAGGTTGAAAACTAAAACCAAAATACAACTGGGTTCCTCAGGACAGTGAAGGAGACAAGGAAGTCAGTGATATGTGTCCTCGTGCTATTTTGTCATACTGATTTTTATCTTTAATTTCAGTTAATTCAGTGCCTGTGAAAACTACCAAGCCAGCAGCTCTTGAGCCTAAAGTCTTCTGCACCAATACAGACCCAGAGGCCGCACCTCAAAAACATCCCTGGGAACACCATGGTAACAGTTGCCAAGCCCTAAAAAAACAAAAAGCTTTTAGGGAGACGGAGCACAAAGACTGACCAGATAAGAAAGAAGAAGAGCAATATTGTTCTTAATTCATTTCAGCCCAATTTGACCCATGTAAACCCACAAGTAGTGTGTTCAACTGCAAGTTAAGTGCGTGCTGAATTCTGCAGACAGATTGAGGCATTAGAGAATAAAACAGAGAGGAGAAATAGGAAGCCTAGTGAAACCAAAGTTATCATTTCATGGAGGAGGCACCGCACAACATAAATAACGCACACAGCAAATGGACAAAAATTGCAAGAAACTGAAGTCAACAGAAAATCTTTAGGAGTATGAATACTGCTATGTAGGAGTATAGTACACGAACACTATATCGGAGTATTCATGTTAGGTAGTTTGTGAACTGTACAAAAGTTCATCGGTAACTTGACGGTTGATATAAAATTACGCCAATAAATTTTGCAGGTACCATAGCGACAAGACAACTGGTGAGTGAGGTGGGAAGTGGGACGTTTGGAAAGACCTGAGTCTATTACTAAGTCTCTTGGCACTTCCAAGAACAAACAGCACACGAACGGAGCTCTTTGCAGCGTTGTACATCTAGGACCAAGGCAGGCAGGTGATGGAAAGGGTCCTGGAAAGGATGACTCTACAAGGGGTCGTGAGCAGATGTCATAGGCTCGCGTGGGATCACCAAATCTTTCAGCCTGGTTACTTGCAATCTCAGTCAGCTATGTGAGAGCTCAGCAGAAACACCAGAAACCTCCCTGTACCATCAGCTCCACACCACCAAGCAGTCCATGGCTTTTACAAACTCAGAGCAGTCACCCTGAAAATACTGTGGTGATCACAGTGGGAAAGCGCGTCAGCATGGTGTGTCTTTAAAATTGTGTTGTAGCAAAAAAAAAAAACAACAGCCATAAGCATGAGTTGCTAAGAAGGTATTTTACTTTGTGTATACCTTCAGCAAGAGAGATGTTAGAATAATAAGTTCTTGTGTCAATATTTTTAAAACAATGTTGAAAAATTGCACCGGGTGCAAAGAAAAAAGGTACAAAAATTATCTGAGGACTGGAGAAATTGCTGTAGAAAATTAAGGAGCTGCAGCTATTTTGGCAGGGAAAAAAAAGATTATTATGTGGAATAAAATAAGTTTCGTAAGAGAAAATGTTACATATGAAAGGACTGTTTAGCTAAGTGAAGTAAGGCATTACACGAACCAACAGCTGGAAGCTGAAGCCAGCCCAACTCAAGCTGGAAGTGAGAAACGCTGAAGGCAGCTAAGCACAGCGGCAAACGGCTGCAGCAAGGGCTGGATTCTCCATCCCCCTCGTCGTATCTTCCAGTCGGGAAAGTGTACCTTTCTGGAAACAGCAAAATTCTCCCTGAGCTTCTAAAAAAGGTATATTATTGACAGCATAAAGTATATTATCGACAGCATGAAGTATATTATCGACAGCTTGAAGTACATATGTGGTCAGATTGAAAAACAGAAAGGTCCCTTCTGGCTGAAAAATACTAAAATCCTTTTATTGAACATTATGTTCGCTGCTCAAACTTTTGCACAGCGGGTGCTGGCAGGCTGGCACTGGATGTGGGATTTCCAGGGAAGGTGAGCAACAAATGTGGTCAGCGCTATCACGTTTCTGTGACTTTTTTGTCCCAGTCTTTCTGAATGTTGATGTTTTGTTTGATGAGCTGTTTGCCTGTCCAGTGAGCCGTTCACAGGAACGCCCAATTCTTCTTTTCTGAAAGGTTCCAGCTTAGTGAGAAGATAACTTTAACTCGCTTTATAGGAATGTTTTTGGAGGCAAGTTTTACCTTTCTGCACCTCGCTGCTCATCAGAACCCACAATTCTTTATTCCTAACAACAAGATCTTCTTTTCGCATTACTGCTGTGAAACATTACCAGTGTATGACCATAGGAGTAGGCCCATGCTGGTGTTTTAATGGTACACAGCCAATTCTTAACCTATGTCCTTCCTAAAAGTGTGCTTTCCTTCATTGCTGTCATAATTTTCCCTCTGAGATCTCTCAGCTGTTTTTTTCCAAGCCTTTGTAGTTCCTTGCGTGACTCAACCCACCTAAAATTCTTTAGTTAGGACCAAGAAAAACTATGTTTATATAATTGTAAAGACGCAGTGAGATCATTAGTGAATACGGTTTCTGACCCGTGGCGTCCAGGGCTGTTTCCTGTACCAGGACTCATTCTGCGGAGTGCACTGAGAAGGCAAAACAACGCCAGCACTTTTGCACGAATGTTTGTATTGCTCTGTATTCAGGCACTAAAGTTTGCTCGCGTCTTACACTGGACAGTTTTACAGTCAAATAGCTGTTTATAAAAGAAACTGAATTCATACCAAGCCGCATCAGACCTGATTCCCCTAACATATACTTGTGTGTGAGGTAAAGCCCCTAAATTCAGCCCTCAAGGAGAGATTCTCCAAGGGACACAACCCAGATCATCTACCGCCTCGCAGCACCCAGTTGCACGCGTTGCTATTACGCCGGAGTTGTTCTTCACGAGAAGCAAACGCTCAGCCTTGGCAAGTGTCAGGCCCCACCGTTGCCACTGCGCAGCGAAGAGCTCCCGCGCGCCGCAGGAAGGCACGCCGCGGCTTTGGCGCGCGTGTCCCAATCAGCCTCGCCTTCGGAGAAACGGGGGGTTTTTTGTACCTCGCCCAGCGTAGTGCTACCTCTCAAACAGGGGCCGATCTCTGCGTGGTGGGAAAGCTCCCCACCTCTCGGGAGCAGGGAGACGCAGAAGAAGCGAGACCCCATCGTCCCAAGCGAGGTCCCTCGGTCTCTCGCTGCGAGGAGCGGAGGGGCGTTCCTTAGCTGACCGCCTTGTTTTGGATGCCAGCCACGGAGCGAGTCCTTCCCCATACTGTGGCTACTCGCTTGCTCCTCGGGAGAAATAAAATGATAGAGTATGAGATACACTTCTTGTCTTAAGGCCTAATACCAACAGTTCTTCCCCTTGTTCCCTTGCCGACCACTGACACAAAATTTGCTCCGATGGGGGAAGGAGCAGTGCTGGGGCTGAACCCCGCAGCCGCGGTGTTCCAGGCTGCACTGCAGTATGAAAAACAAATTCACCCAACTAGAAGAGGGAGGGAAAAAAATGGTTTAAATATGGATTTTAAACCTTGCACCTGGTGCAGAAAAAATTAAAACTTATGCTCATTAGGCACTGAAATATGATTTTGGCGAAGGACAGGCATTCAGAATATTTCCTAGCATTTGGAATATAAAAATTACATTTTGGGGGAAATAAAATAGAGACAAATATTAGTATCTTAATTATTAACTGATATTTTACTTGTGAGCATTTTCTGCTAAAATTTAATTAAAGATTTCCAGGTCTTCAAAATTCAAAGTGCTCATTCTTTTCTTACTTTTCCCCAGTGTTGTAAACAATCAGTATTTGAAAACCAAGCGATTTTCTTTCTCTCACATTTTCTGTATTTTTTGGCTTTATTGCAAACGCTTAAAACATAACTTGTCTCTTTTCGCAGCAGTTGTGACCCATACCATGAAGCTGAGCGTTTCAAAGAGTTGATATTGGAAGGAGAACTTACATCTCCGCTAGAAACGCATCTCCCTCCCATGCACCGCCGGCAAAATTGGCAAATTTACGCCTCTCTGCGTCGTACTCAGCAGAAAGCTAGGGAGTAATGCAGTTTACCTTCACGATCATTTGTTCTTTTTACCTGCCTTTGCCCTCGGCGTTGTTTTCGTTTCTACTAAATGCAAAAGCATCGCCATTCCCGGCGTTTGTAACGATGCAAAATTTCGGGGAGGCTCCTCCTCGGGAAACAACTGACTTTTCCTCCGTCGGCTCACGAGACCTTTCCGTGCCCCTGGCTCTGGCAGCCGCATTTGCAGCCGCACGCCGGGCTCGCCGGGATTTGGGGGGGTTCCCCAGA